TGAAAATTGCACAAGTCCCAATGATGCTTCCAAACCACTTCCTGAACACTGTGGGATGTCATTGGCCAAAATACAAGAACATCGGCCATGTGGAAGTGGTCATCGACCAATAATGGGGCTCTCGGCCATAAATTTGTGGCCGACCGGCACTGAAGATGGCTGACTGGCCATCTCTTCCTATAGAATGCTATTTTGTTGCAACAGAGGACAAACAGAGCATGGCAATGCAATTTCAAAGCAATGTGTGCACAACCACCCTTCTTATCATGTCATGAACTCAAGGGAGTATGGTTCTCGACCCTCGGGCCATCAATCACGCATTTCAATGCATGATGGCCAAAGGATCCAAGTGTACAAATCAATATGGAATGAATGCACAAAACACATGAAGGCCTCACACTCTATCATGTTGGATCAAGAGCGTCGGCGACTAAGGATTGAGGCACATTTCGTCACTTGAAGTACGAATGTTCCTCGCTCCTCGTGTTTGGTTTGACACCCCAAACCAAACACAATGCAATGCATGCAACCAAGTACAATGCAACATGGAAATGCAACGCGATGTAACATGAGCATGACAAATGCCATGCAATGCAACCTAACATGTAAACAACATGGTATGCAGTAAGTATGTAATACTACTATGCATCCTAGATATGCAAACATACAATGTGATAGGCATGCAACAATGATACCAACAATAAGTATGCAATAACATGCAATGCGATAGGCATACAACAATACACAAACCGCATGATCCATGGACTTACACTGAAGATGGATAGGCCTCAACCATACCAAAATAGTGGCCAATGGTGATGAATTGATGACATGAAATGCAAGGCAAGCATGCATGCCAATTGGCCTAAGCATTAAGGCATAAGGACACGACACCCAAAGGCATTGAAAGAATGAAACATGGAGTACAATGGCATATGTTCCAGCACTAAAATGTCATGCTAAATGACTTAAAATCATGCAAACAACTCATGTGATGCATGTTGCAAGGCCTAAGCATCAAAGCTAGTGAAGTGTATTACACTAGAGGCATGGAAGACAATGCTCAAATGGCCAAACCAGCCCCAAACAGACCTTATGCAGGCCAAAACAATAGCCAAAATGGACTAAGATGATGGCTTGAAAGGCAAGAAAATGAGGCTCATGCAATGGCTCACAAACAAGGCATAAAGGTGCAACTCTCAAACACATTGAAGGAGTGATAAACATGAGAGTATGACAAAGATATAAGCTCTGAAATATCATTAAAATGATGCCAAGGCATGCAAACATCACAAGTATAGCATGGTAGAGGCCTCAAAACTCAAGACTAGTCAAGGCATTTGCACTATAGCTATGCAATGCATGAAGCAGATGGCCAATGCAATGCAAAGTAGTCCTAGAGCATGCCAAAACAATGACAAAACATGCTTGGAGCAAACCCAAAACAAGCTAGCATAAACGGTCAAAACATGGAGTATGTAAGGCCAATAAAGAGGTTTACACTACACCTACCAAACCCAAGCGCGAGGCGACTTCAACAACAAAAATCAGAGTTATGGAATGTCAAAATATCACCAAAAATGTGCTGGAATGGAGCCAATGCATGCTAAAATAATAGGCTACAACATCAAGCATGTTAAGCTAGTAAAGAGGATTTACACTACAAGTGTATAAAGCATGTAAGAGGTGAGCAAGACAGCCCAAAATAGAGTTATGGAAGGTCTGGAAAGTCACAAAAATGAGCCTAAACAAAGCCTCTAAGAAGTAGAAACACATACTCTTTTGGTTGGCCATCAACACTAGCAAGCAAGACAAGAGGAGACGGGACCACCCTCTCCTATTTTGAGCCTCAAAACAAGTTTTGTACCACTGAAAATCCACTGAATTTTAGTGGTTAAAAGGCCAAACAAAGATGGTTTCAAAAGCTTAGGAAGTTGGCTCTAAAGTCTTTACAAGCCAATGAGCAAAGAGAGAGACAACCCCCTAACACAAAATAGGCCTAAACCATCACTTTTAGGACTAAAAAACAGAGATTTTTTCAGTTCAAAACCAAGCCAAAAACAGTTTAAAAGGGTGGCAAAACAAGCATGCAAAGTTGGCCAATATAGTGTACAAAATGAGCTTAAAAGAGAGAGATGCTTACCCTTGAAGCACAGCTGCAAAACAGGTCCAAACTCTGAGCTACAACCAGCTTGTGGAGCTTAAAAGGATCCTCAAAGAACCTCAGCCCAATGGTGGTTGAGTTTGATCGAGGATGCCTAGGCAAAGGTGAGGTATATCTTCAAGTATACCTCTTGCACGCACACAAGGTCAAGAGGGAGAGCAAGCTTGAGTGAAAAGCTAAACTTTGGCTCTGCAATTTCTAGAGAGAAAGAACTTTTCTAGAGAGAGAGGCTCCTAAAACTTGTTCAAGAAGTTCAACCCCTTGAAAATGAGAGATATAGCCTCATATATAGCAAAAATGAGCTCAAGGTCGAAAATATCTGATTATAGGATAGCTGGAGCTTGCTGGAAACAGTTGGAGCTTGTTGAAAACAGCTAGAGGAGAAATATCTGCCAATTCTGGGCTTTCTGGACACTTCTGGCCGACCGGCCATATTTGGTGCTGACTAGCCATCATTTTTGGCCAATAAGGTTCACTTTTGGCCGACATATAGCTGCTGAGGTCATATTGTGGCCGATGCAGTGCCATAGAGGCCGATGGGAAAAATCAGTCCTGGTCCATGACTTGAAGCAAGCCTAATTCCTTCATCTAGCCTCCTTTTCAAGTCATTCTTGAGCCTAAATTGTAGCCCCGGAAGTCTTCTTTCCAAATTTGGAAGCCTCACCTCAAAATTCCAAGTGTGCTAAGAGATTTCTCTCTTTTAGTAAAGGATGCTTAGTTTCGGTCCAATCGGAATGATGCCCAACTTCAGCCAATCATATCTCCCCCATCCGGACACGGATTTAGGAGATTCTTAAGTGAAAAATGAAGCCCCAGAAGTAAGCTTTCCAATGGTGGTGTCCTCATAGATTAAATCCAAATATACAAAAGGATAGGCCCGATTTAGCGAGGGTTACCCGACTCTCTATTAACGGTTCACGCCCATCTTTTTCCCCAACTTGGTTTCTTCCCTCTTCTCCTCTTTTCTTCAAATCCAAACCCCTAAACAAGGTGTTTTGAAAGATTTTTCAAAGATTTCATCTCTCTTTCATTCATTCCCACTTTGCCCTTGCCCGGTTTACCGAAAAGCACAACATTTGACAAAATGCGAGCGTGGGAACATCGTAGGAACTTCATTTCAAAAATATTTTGAAAAAGAGGATTTTAAGGTCTAAAAACTATTCAAAATAGCTTTGGTCCAAAATGGGGTGTGAGGTTTGGATTTGACTCTCCTCTCGCCGAAGAAAATGACCCTTTTGCACTGCACATCTTTCACCACCAAGTAAACCATAATTAACACCCAAGTCTTAAGGGCGGTCAAAAATGGGGTGTCTACACGGGGACTCAATTGCGTGGACCTCTAGGACGTTCATTCATATTGTTTTAGATTGTTATGTCAAGTTTGTACATATTTCTTTTTTATTTTTATTGAGGTTCATTTAGGATTATTTTGATATGTGGGTTGATTACGGTTGGTTTGTCATTTATACTTGTGGCTTGTCACTGGATTGAGTTTGGTTATTTATTACTGGACTTTTGTATAGTTGTTCAGTGTGATTATGGATTCATGTTTAGGCTTACGTGTGCCTTGGGCTAAGGTTCTGTGGGCCACGGCCGGTCATACCCGGGTTTGGGATATGACAATTTTACATCACTTTTTAAGATCTATTTCTCTCCAAACCCTAAAGTTGAGACCCTCTCTATTTAAAACCTACATTCTCTCTACTTTTTCATCTAGGTCTAGTGATTTCTCCACCCTTGTGCCTTCGTTAAAAAGGTAGAGCACATTAGTAGCTACGTTTTGATCCGATTCAATCTTGGTTTCGGCGTCTTTGGAGTTTCTTAACTTCTCCTTTGGTCTTCTAAGCTTGAGGTAGGGACTCTCTACACTCTTCAATGAGTTTTAGCTTACTTATTTGTTGTTGTGTAAGAAAGATTGGGATTTGAGGTAGTTTTGAATAAACCTAGGGTTTTGGTTTAAAATCACAAGAGGGGTTTTCAAAGAAATGTAGTGGAAATGGTTATGGGAGTAATTGTGAGCTTGTGTTGTGCTAAAATAGTTGATTTTGGTGTTTGGGATGAAATTGGGAAAAATGGGAGTTTTGCCTTAAAATGACTCAAGTGATTATTTTGTATAAATAATGAAATCGGTAATAAAAGTGTGAAATTAGGAGGTTGCATATATGAATGGTGGAGTTAGATATGTATTATCTTGCACTAATAAGAATTTGGATAATTTATCTGTTGTAAAGATTGTATATCTATTTATAAATATCTATTTTGCGCTATTGGTGGAGGATAGTCATGATTGTTGTAGAAATTGCATGAGGATTAGGCGAATTGAAACTAATCTCTTATTGGTTGTCATTGAATATGACTGTGTTATAATACATTGTATATGTATGATATTTGAGAAGAGAAAGGGGATGTACTCTATATGTGGGAGGAGAAAAGGGATGGACTCCATTGAATTAAGTTGGCCTGTGTGTCTTGGGTGTAAGTCCCGAAAATCGCGTGTATACATGGGTGCCGATTCCCGCAGACGAAATTTTCGTAAAATGGCAAATTGAAGCGTTGTGTATTGATTATATATGTTTTAGAATCACTGAGTTGTAGTCTCAGTTGGGTTGTCTAGATAATAATGAACATGACTTATGAATTGAGGTGAAATGAATTGACATGAATGAAATTGAGATAAAACGGATTCAAATAAAGGAATTTGATATATATTATGATCTTGTAGGCTATGATTGATACCATAATGGGCATTAGACATGCACTTCATACTTGTACCTTTGTTAAGATTCATATATTGTGTTAGATTGTTCTACTGGGCTTTGGCTCACCCTATTGGAACCTTCTATTTTTTTCAAATATAGCACTTCAACTTTGTCAAACAAGACCATTAGCTCATCTGGTAAGGAAATTCCTTCAAGTTTCAAGATCCTTGTTGAGGAATAATTTTCATTCTTTCCAAATCTACCACCCACAGATATTTTAAATCTGATCAAGTTCTCAAATCTAAGGTCCTTGGGCAATAGCATCACATTTGGTATATGAATATGTAGAGTGGTTAATCGAGTCAATGACTTTAGCTCAACCAAGCTCACATTGCTTATTTCCTTGTTGACTGTTGTTGCCTCCCATTGATCAAAGCTATCTGAAATGTATAATTCTTCAAGGCAAGATAAGTTGGATATGATACCTTGTGGAATCACTGTGAGTTGGTCACAATTTCCCAAATCTAACAATCGAAGACGAATCAATTGTCCGACCTCTGGTGGCAACATCATGATATCAGAACCCCGAAGGCTAAGTATTTCAAGGGTATTCTTTAGTTCCTTGAGTATAGCTATGTCTTCCAACTTGCATTTATTTAGACGTAACATTCGAAGGTTAACCAAATTTGCAAGTGATGATGTTAGTGGAGCCATACTTATTCCACTCACATCTAAAACTGCAAGTCTATCCATCCCACTAAAAAACATGTCTGCAACTTTAAGCAAGGAATTGTTATACTCCAACAATAAGGTGTGGAGTTGTGGACATCCTAACTCATTAGGAACATCATGAATGGTTTCGGACACTAATGAGATTGCTGAGTAAGATTCATATGTACCTTTCTCCAGCCATTCTTGGACGCCATGTTTTACAAGAAATGCTTCCTGCTCTTTCGCAATTGAAATGGCAACATCTCGAATGACATCATGCATTTTGACGACATTTTCATCAGTGGCGTCTAACAGCAAACAGCTAGTTTTGAGGGTTTCGACCACTGTAAGTACTCTGTATCTTGCTTTTTCTAGTGTATCCGGGTTTTGATCCAGCAACCTCCTCGCCACGCAATGTTTGACCAAGTCATCAATTGAAATCTCGTTGTCTTCAGGAAACAGACAACAGAGCAAGAAGCAGGATTTTGCATCTTTGGATTCTAGACAATCGTAGCTCAACTTTAACGAGGCATACATTTTTGGGTCAATTCCCTCAACATTTTTTAGCATGCTATTTCTCAATTGATCAAGTGCATCTTCCCAGGCATATTTCTCCTTGTTTTTCAATGCTGCTCCAACTGCAAGTATAACAACCGGCAAGCCTTGACACTCTTTACACACCCTCTTTGCTAGTAAATGTAGATGAGGAGAATCAATAGAATTTCCCACCACCTTCCTGAATAGGGCCAATGCTTCTACGTCTGATAACACTTGGATTGAAAAGTCTCTATCAACTTTCATATGTTTCCACACACTTCGGATTCGAGATGTTAGCACAACTTTGCAGCCTTTGTTTCCATCCGTGATAGGAATACCTATTTCCTTAAAGTTCAGTTCTTTCCATATATCATCCAATATTAAGAGATTTTTCTTTCCATTGTTCAATCTATTCCAGAGTTGAGCGGCTCTTCCCACTTCGGTTTCCATATCCAGTTTTAGATTCAAACGGTCAGCGAGACGCCCTTGAATTTTGAACACGTTTGCATCTTGAGAGACAGCTACCATCACCACTTCGTCAAAAACCCGGTGTTCTTTCATTTGTTTGCCGACCTCTTCAACCATCGTCGTCTTGCCAACCCCTCCTGTTCCATATATCCCAACAATGTTAACTGTGGAATGTTTTAATGCATCCATGATTCTCTTCAAAACCAATGCTCTTGAATCCAAGCTCACATAATCCGAACTAGACGGGAATTGAAGTTCCGAAGGAGGTGGCTTTGCGCGTGCAACTCTCTCAAAACTTCCGTCTTCTCTTAGTTTTTTGGCATCATGAATCTTCTTTTGGGCTTGCTTGCTCAGTCGGTAGCGCCAAATGAAATTAGGGCATGAGAGTTTAAAGCACTTACACTGCATGTTTTCCTTTGTAGTTTTCTCATCCATAAATTCCTCAACTGCTTGTGTCACCCCGTCCACCTGGTTTAGCCAGTTTGAAACGTCATCATTAACATCTTCACCACGGGTTAGGGCTTCATCAACTTTTCCTTTATTTTTTCCTCTATGATTTTGTAGGATCTTCATTTCAGTGTCCAAGGCCTTCAGGTTCTTCTTGTAGAAAAGAAGAAAACTGACATGACGCACCACCGATTCAATCACTACATTAGTGATTTTCCTTGTAATTGAAGACAGAATTGCATGCGGAGTACACATTTTCGATTCACTTTCTTTTTTTCTTTTTTTCTTCTGTACGTATTGTGTTCTTTTTTTCCTTTTTCCCTATCTTTGTTGTCTCTCTTTCTTTGTTTCTTTCTTTTTTTTTTCTTCTTCTTTTCTTAGTGACAACAACTTTTGCTTTTATCCTAATTTATAGTATATTATATTTTACAAATACAACATAAATACAACATATATAACTATGCTATATAAGATCAATATATATATATATCACCTTATATATATATATATAATATAAATATATATAAATATTTGAATTAATTATATATAATTAAATATCAGGTTAAATAAATTAAATAACACATTAAATTCTCATGTATCCATGCAATTAATAACCAAAAATAAAATAAAGTAGTAATAATAAATAAATAAATAAATAATGGCTTATAAAAAATTAGGTTTGCTACATTCATTGACCCCAATGACTATGTGGTTTGTTCAATTGAAGAATCGAAAGATATAGATGAATTCTCTCTTGATGAACTCTAGAGTTCCTTATTAGTCCATGAACAAAAGATGAACCAAAGTTCATCTATGGATGAGCAAGCTCCAAAAGCTTCTATCTTTATTCAGTTCTCAAATTTTTGTGGAAGGGGTAGAGGCAATAGAGATAGAAGCTGGCAAAATCAAATTTTTAAAGGTGATGAAGGGCACTCAAATTACAGAAAACGCAATCAACAAGTTGACAAATCCTAGATCGAGTGCTATAGGTGCCATAAATTTGGTCAGTATCGGTTTGAATGCTATACCAAATTGTCCAACGATAAAGATAAAGAGAAGTTCGAGAAGTCAAATTTTGTTGAAACAAGAAAACAGAAACTCTATTAAGTCTCATGTCAGTGCGGAACCTGAATCAGATGTTTGGTATGTGGATACCGGCTGTAGCAACCACATGAGTGGAAGTAAGTCTTCTTTCTCTTATTTAAATGAAGGCTTTCATTCCGCTGTCAATTTTGGTGATTGTTCTACTGTGAAAGTAATGGGAAAATGTGATGTTAATATTAGAACCAAGAATGGTTTTGTAGAAACAATTTCCAATGTTTTTTTATGTACCTGACTTGAAAAGTAATTTGTTAAGTGCTGGTTAGTTGCAAGAAAAGGGTTACGTGATAACTATCAAAAAAGGTGCCTATGAGATTTATGATCCTTCAAGAGGAGCAATTGCTATTGTTGAGATGAGTTCAAACAGATTGCTTCCTTTGAAGATAACAATAACTCAACCTTGTTTAATGGCTAAAGTAAAAGACCCCTCATGGCTTTGGCATTTTCACTATGGCCACTTGAATTTTGGAGAATTAAAGACTCTTTAATAGAAAGATATGGTTTCTAGCCTCACTAAATTGCCATTCCTTCTCAAGTTTGTAAAGAATGTGTTGTTAACAAACAACATCGTTCTTCATTCCCTCAAGGAAAGTCGTGGAGAGCCAAAACTATCCTAGAGTTAGTTCATTCAGATATTTGTGGACTGATAAATCCATCTTCTAATGGGGGTAAAAGATATTTTATTATCTTCATTGATGATTATACTCGAAAAAAGTTTGGTTTATCTTTTGCAGGAGAAATCAGAAGCTTTTAAGACATTTAAAAGCTTCAAGACACGAGTTGAAAATGAAATAGGAAAAACCATTAAAACTCTCCATACTAATCGTGATGGAGAATACTGCTCAAAAGAATTTGAAGGTTATTGTAAAGATCATGGTATTTGAGAGGAACTCATAGCTACTTATACACCGCAATAGAATGGTGTATCAAAGAGGAAAAATAGAACCATTCTCAACATGGTGAGAAGCTTGTTGGTAAGAGGAAACATTCCAAAAAGATTCTGGCCTGTGGTAGTAAATTGGAGTATTCATGTGTGGAACAAAAGTCTTACTTTTTCTGTTCAAAACGTGGCACCTGAGAAGGCTTGGAGTTGGCGCAAACCACCTGTAGATCACTTCAGAATTTTCGGATGCATAGCTTGTGCACATGTCCCAGATGAGACAAGGAAGAAGCTTGATGAAAAAAGAGAAAAATGTGTCGTCCTTGGAGTAAGTTAACACTCCAAAGCCAAAAATTGTTCAATCCAATTACTAAGAAGGTAATTACCAGCCGAGATGTGGTTTTTGATGAAGAAAAGATGTGGGATTGGACTGGAAATGGCAAAGAACTACAACAAATTCCTATTGATTTTGATGATGTAGAGAATAGGACTAAAACGCAGCAGTAGTCCTTTGATGAACACTTGCTCACTTCTTCAGCGATTTCACCAACAAATGAGCAACCGCCTGAGAATCAACGTCCAAGGAAAAGATCAGCTTGGATGATTGACTATGTAAGTGGAGATGAACTCTTTGATGATGATCCAATCACTCATTTTGCTTTATTTTCAGATTGTGACCCTACAACTTTCGAATGTGTTGTCCAAGAATCAAAATGACGGAAGGTGTTGAATGATGAAATTGCAACCTGAGAAAGAAATGATACTTGGGAACTATCTTATCTTCCAAAAGGGCACAAACCCATTGGCATGAAGTGGGTTTACAAAACAAAACTAAATGAAAATGGTGAAGTTGACAAGTATAAGGCATGGTTGGTGGCTACGGGATACAAGCAAGAGTTTGGAGTTGACTATAAAGAAGTTTTTGCTCCGGTTGCAAGGCATGATACAATCAGACTGGTAATTGCGCTGGCATTTCAAAATTTATGGCCTATCTTCCAATTGGATGTCGAGTTAGCATTCTTGCATGGAAACTTAGAGGAACATGTATTTGTTTCCTGGTTATATTAAGATTGGAGATGAGCATAAAGTGTATAGATTAAAGAAAGCTCTCTTTGGATTAAAACAAGCAGACATGCTTGGTATAGTAGCATTGAGGCTTATTTTTTGAAAGAAGGTTTTCAAAAATGTCGATATAAGCACACACTTTTTGTTAAAGTTGGTGATGGAGGGAAAATACTCATTGTCTGCTTATATGTACATGATCTTATAGTTACTGGCAATAACAGTGTCATGTTTTAAAAGTTTAAAAAGTCTATGATGGTTGAATTTGAAATGTCTGATCTTGGTATGCTGCATTATTTTCTTAGCATTGAAGTGGTGCAATCTGCCACTAGAATTTTTATTTCTCAAAAGAAGTATGTGCGAGAAATTTTGGACAGGTTTCAGCTGAAAGATTGTAATCTTGTAAATACTCCAATTGAGTTTGGCTTGAAGCTACACAAAGATCATAGAGGAAAGAAGGTGGACAACACACTCTATAAGAAAATTGTAGGTAGTTTTATGTATTTAACTACAACAAGACCTGACATAATGCACTATATGAGTCTAATCAGCAGATATATAGAGAATCCAACAGAGCTGCATCTTTAAGTTGCTAAGAAAATTTTTCGTTACTTGCGAGGAACTAAAGATTTTGGGCTGCTATACAAGAAGGGTGAAAGGTCAGATTTGATTGGGTTTACTGACAGTGATTCTACAAGAGATCAAGATGATAGGAGGAGCACTTCGGGTTATGTTTTTACGTCGGGTTATGTTTTTACGTTGGGTAAATGGGTTGTTTCGTGGTCATCTAAGAAGCAACCAATTGTCACTTTCTCCACCACTAAAGCTGAATTTGTTGCTGCAATGGCTTGTGCTTGCCAAGCTATCTGGTCGAGGAAAATTCTTGAAGAGCTGCATTTCAAGCAAGTGGGAGCTACAATAATTTTTTGTGACAATAGCTCAACCATCAAACTCTTCAAAAATCCTGTGCTACATGGAAGAAGCAAACATATTGACGTGAAGTATTATTTTTTAAGAGATCTCATCAATGATGGAGCAATTTATTTGAAATATCGTAGAAGTGAAAATCAACTAGCTGATATATTTACTAAATCCCTCAGATCTTTTTCTTTTCACAATTTGAGGAAGTTGCTGGGAGTTTGCACTTTAGAGAATCTTGTTGAAGAAAGTACTGTATAATTAAACTAAGTCTTAAAACTTTCAGCTTAATGCATGTTTATTTTCTCTGTATTGAGTCAGTCAAAGTTGTCGTAGTCTGTAGGAATTGGTAGTCCTAGTTTTTAGGATTTGATTAATAATGGAGTATTCGTTCTACAAGTTGTTTTTATTTACCTAGTCTATAGGAGTTTGTTTTGCATATTTGAGTAGTGTTGTGTAGTGCCTACTTTTATGGTATATTCTGTTATTTATGAGCCTATATAGAGGTAGTTCTATTTGATGAATAAAATCAAGTCCTTAAGTTTCGGCTTTTCTACATATTTAATTCTATCCATACATGGATCTATTTTCTTCTTCTTTATGATGGTGAAGTTGTTTGATCCATGCGATCTCATTAATTCCTACTATCCAAGCATGTTATTGAACTGAAGTTCTCTCACTTATCTGAATTTGATAGTTTTGCAAATTTGAGCATTATGGAATTTTGTTGATTGTTCTCATCAAATTGGTTTGAAATTCTGGCATTGAGTTGGATAATAATTTGGAAAAATTTCCATTCAGGTGAAGTTTCTAAAACCAATTATAAATCAGTGGTGTATTTTATAAATTTTAATAATTAAAATATTATTTTTTTTAGTGTAAATTACACTTACCTCTCTTGAGATTTCTGACAAATATAGGGACCTCCCATGTGGTTTCAATAATTACAGAAACCTCCCATACTTTAGTTGACAATTTCATGATTCTTCCATTTTTTGACTGTCGTTCACATAGCTAACAGAAACTGTTGATGTCATCAAAGATAAATATTGAAATGCCCATAATGTCCTCTAGAGTCTTGTTAAGAAAAAGCAATACCTAGATTCAAACTAAGCAATACCTAGTTCTATTGATTTTTCCAATCTCATATATACGAACAGATACATATATATATATAAACACATGCAAACATATTTTGATTTTAGCAAAAAAAATAAAATCCTATTAAATTAATTTCTAAATTTGTTTAATAGATATATGTATATGTATACACACATTCAAACATGGGAACAAC